CATGTTCGTCGCCACGGAGCGTACCGAGGGCGTATCCACTTCGGACATAGTGGCTCGCATTGTTAAGGACTATGATTTGTATGTGCGTCGCAATCTCGCACGCGGCTATTCCGCCAAGGAGCTTAACGTTTCCTTTTTGTCCGAGAAGAAATTCCGTTTGCAAAACAAAATGGATGAGCTGAAGTCGCGCGGTAAACGCGAATTGACCAAAGTCAAGGGCGACATTATCACCAAGTGGGAAGAAAAATCACGCGAATTTATCGACACGTTTCTTCTGCTTTTTGGTCGGGAGCGTCTGAATCATTTGTGGAACGAGTCAAAGGGCAAGCTCATCCAAGCACTCAGCCCGCCTGGCAGTCCATCCGGCTCGGTAAATGGCGATGATTTGGACGATGGCAATGATTCCGATGAGTATTTGGAACTGCCCGCCGAGTACAGCGGAGGCAGCACAAATTCCCTGAATGGCAACAGCCAGAAGCGTTCCTCGCTGGCCAGGCCCAGCTATCAGAGCCGCACGGCGGTTGCTTCCTCGCCGGAGGACTACGATGACGACGAYGACGATGACGATGATGCCGTGTACGATGCGGAATTCGTAGAGCGGCGCAGCAATTGATTGAATTAGCTAGTTGTAGGGGGAATGCGTTGCAAGCAACCATATATTTTAGATTTCAGATTTGGCTAGTTTCACTTTCACTATCTATTGAAGCTATTGTATATTTATTAAATTGTTTTTTCGTGTGATTAACTCGTGTGGCATTTCATTTCCCACACAACACAAACTGTCGCAATATGCTTTAGCTGTACTAAACTAAGTGGTATTCTGTCGTCGTGTTAGCTTTAGTTGCACCTGCACCTGCACCTGTTTACCCTTAAGACTATCCTGTAGCCAATTTTTAGCCAAAAGAGAAATGGAAACGAATAGGAAGAGAGAAGCAGCAAACATTTTGCAAAGAGAGAAATGCTGTGTAGCAAAAGGATAAGAAAAGAAAATCCAATACAAGACTCATTTTATAGTATGAAGCCTTAAATGAATTTTTGCGTCAAAGGATAAATGAAAACTATTTAGAATTATTTATATTAAATTATTTCGCGTAATACCTTAACTATAAGTCGAACACACAACACCAATATGAATACAATACAAAAGAAAATACATACATATACACAAAATGAAAAAAAAAAAATACACATTCTAAGAAAACAAAAGAAATAAAAACTAGATGCAAAAATAAGTTTTGCAGAACATCAAATATAAAATAAACAAAATGCTTTGTTGAATATTTTTTGGAGAAATAAAATGAAATTGAAAGCAACGCAACATTTCCGATGCATTTTCTTTAAATATGGGGGAATAATTTTCAGATATTTGCCATGCTCATCTTTATTGATTATATATTGGTACATATATTAATGCGAAATACATATGATATAATTAAATTATAAAGGTTTGTATGGTTCAGAAAATAGTTATTTGTAATAACATTGAAATAGTCTTGCGATCTTGACGCTGTTAACAAAAAATTTCTTATGACAAATGTATTATGAGTGTTGAATTAATAACGTTACGGATATATTCGGGCCCAACCTACGGAGCTCTGTTCATGCCTACGGCAAAGAGCGGTACCATTTTCTTGCCCTTCGCCTTCTTCTGTTGCTTCTTGCTGGCTACAGCATCTACTGCAGTAGTATTCGGCCTGCCTGCGCGCTGTTGTTGCTTCTGTTGACCCAATGCACCCACAAGCAACTCTCCCAGGGCCCAGGGACCTACAGCACGCAGCTCATGATCCTCTTCCGAAGTCACACGACTGGCTATAGTTGATTGAATTAGTGGCGGTGCCGGTGCAGCACGACCCCATGCGCCCACCTGAAACTCTGGAGCACTCTGACGCAAGCCTGCAGAGCCGCCAGGCGAGGCTGCTCCAATGGTAGGCCACAATTCTTGCTTGGGACTGGCAGCCACGCTTGAGTAACGAGGACTGGTAGTTGCCTGGGCAATAGTAATGGGCGCAGCGCCGCGTGGTACTGGCAAATCCTCCTCGAAACCACACTGCAAAAGTAATTGAAATATTAGGTTTGTGTTTATACTGGTAGATATATAACTAATTACGCACAGTTGGAAATTCATGAGTGGAGTTCAGATTTAAATTGGCTGAACTGGCAATAAGTTTGCCCATCTGCCGGTCATTTATCTCATTGATTTGCTGCTCACGTTTCCGTTCTTCACGCTCGCGACGCTGACGCTCCTTCTTGCGATGTAATATATCGTCTAGAGAATCGAAGAATTAAATGCAAAGAGATTGCATACATATTTCTCCTCCCCACTTACCCTTGAATAACTTGAGTATGCTGGCCGATATAATTGGAGGCTGCAGCTCCACTTCGACCACAGCGAACTGGCAGGTCAAAGGCAAATGACCCAAGCAAGTGAATTTGCGGCGATGTTCCTCGTCCATAGAGTGATACTCCTTTTGTATGATCTGTGCATTGATGAGCACTGGAGCTAGATCCAAGCTGCCATAGCATGCCTGCAGCATCTTCACATTCAATGGATGCAAGTAGATGTTTTGTCCATCATTCGATTGATAGAAATAATAATATTTAGTACAATTGTTGATGTTGGAGCTGCTGCTGCTGCTCGCCTCGCCCAAAGATGAGACGGAAGCTTCGTCAAGTTTTTCAATATCAATATCTGGAGTTTTAGCTTGCACTTGCTCTTCTTCCACGGCCTGTATGATGGCTTGCTGCTCCTCTGGCTCCAAGCCAAGTTTTTCGCAACGTTCATTCAGTGTTAGCAGCGCCTGCTGGATAAAAATATCTTCTGGACAGGATACATCGGACTCAGCCGATAGCTCGCGACGTTCGCGCTCAATAATAGCTGCAATGTCAGAACGCTTGGCAATTAAAAACTTCGAGAAATGTTTGGCCTCATTTTCAGCGCTGAGCAAAGGAAAGCGTTCGTGTGGCTCTAGAGCAGCGTCAGCTGCGCCTGCATAGCGCTCAATGTACATTGAACCTTTGCGTCGACGCATCAAATGAAAGCTGATAGTATCGTTCACATTCATAGCATGCTGCTGCTGGATGGTGCAGCTCTTCAAATCTGCTGCATGGATGGCATCATAACAGATAGGACACTTGCGCCAAGTCTTATCGCTTAACGACAGATAATGGAGCAGACAGGGCCAGCAGTAGGCGTGGCCACAGCGAGTCAGCTTGGCGGCCACCGGTGGATAGAGGCAAATGGGACACTGCGGCTCCTCGGTGGTATGTATATTGATCTGCTCGATAAGATTCCAATCGATCAACGTGTCCGGCGAGCCATTCACCTGCGCCTTGGCGCTGCTGCGTATAACAAACTGAAAGTTGGCCTGCAAAAATTGCTCCTTGTTGTAACGTGGCTGGCGACGAGTCGACACCACACCATGTCCACTGGCATGCCAGTCGGATGTACTCGACGACTCGCGCGGTACGCAATGAAAATTCAGCAGATGGTTCAGATTCTGCTTCTTGCTGCCGTGCGCATACACAGAATTTAACTCATAGTCAAGATCACTACGAATGTAGCCAGCGCCAGCAGATGCTAATCCGGCGCCGCCATAAGTGTTATCCGGACCGGTGCATGCAATGCCATCCCCGTTGTCAAAGCCGAAATTGTTGCTGTTGTTGCCACCGCTTCCGCCGCCACGAGCACGTGGACGCTTGTCCACATTGGCGCGTAGTTTTCCCGGCTGCTGTTGCTGTTGTTTGGTACCGCGTTGTTGCTGCTCGTTGCGTGGTGTAGGAAGCTGTTCGCGACGTCGAGAATTGCGTGTTTTGTTGACATATAAGTCTGCCCAAAAAGAAAAGCAAATCAGAACTCTAGCGACTATTCAGATATAATAAATGCTTAAATTCCAACTAGAGCTTTCCATCTCTATCTCTAATCAGAAAAGAAAAACAAATTCCCACACTAGATAACCAAAATGACATAAAAACAACTGTAGAATTCGATTTACTCACCACTAGATTTTCGTTGTGCTTCAGCCGATGATTTATTTGCACGTTGTTGTGGTGCCTGCTTCTTGTTGTTGTTTTCCATTGTAATTGATATTTTTGGCTGCGCTAAGGCCGCAGAGTTCGTTGAAGGAAGGATAGAAGAAAGCGGAAGATTGTGCGTTGACTGTGAGTTGCTGCCAATCGACAGCAATTTGCGTCTCGCGTTGACGTTCGTCTCCACAAGGAGTGCGTTGCGCGACAATTTTTCGTTGAGGATTCATTTTTACTGAGCCATGATTATTAACAAATATACCCAGAAATAATACTTGCGTAATATTTCCAAAAGGTTATGCGAGTGGTTTTCGGTTTAAGTCTAAAATCGAAAGCGTTAAAAAGTACTAGATTCAGTACTTGTGCCTTCTTATTTATTGCTTCTCAATAACACTTTTTGCTTTTGCTGAATTTTTGCTGATTTGCCGTCCTTTTCTAATAATGTCTTTGTTGATGGTATTGGTGTGTGATTGCTGTCCAAAGGTGTGACGACTGCGGTTTTACGCTGCGTAAAATGTCGATCTTGTGGCTCAAATTTCAGTTGTCGAATGTGCAAGCACAGACTTAAAACGACTCCAAAATGTTGGGGAATATTTTTGGTGTTGTGAAAGCAACTAATTTTGATATAAAAACCAAAAAATCCTCGGTTGGAAAAATCAGCATCCGTGCTGACCTATGAAAAACAGTGTGACTGCACACGGTAAGTGTAAAATTACCATAAATATCTTAACATACATGCGAATGGCACTTTAACTACCTCAAAATTCAAAGTAATTAAATAAGCCATAACTTTATAATTTTATTTTAATATGGTATTTATCAATTTTATTTAACAATTTCTGCTAAATTATATTCGCGTTAAAATATCTTATTATATTGCACCACAAACACAGTTAAGTGCGCAGTTTTCGTTGTTAGTGGACTATGTTTATGCGTAAACAAATATCGATATTTTGTGATATCGATTCAAGCCACACAGTCGCCATTTTATTTTTGTTACTACTACAATTGAAGTCACCTAGGCTGTGTTGCTGCGAGAAAATTCACATTTTCATATTGATAAACAATAGAAATTGACAAAATAAATATAGCGTTTGAGCTAAACAAAACCCCCGAGCTCTTCTGTCTTTGTGCATTGGTCCTCAATAAGTTTGCGTTGCGTTTTTAAGGTTTTCCATTGGTGAGTAAAAGTTCATTGATAAAAGTACAGACATGCACGCATACATATGCAAAAATGTGTGTGCTACATAGTGCAACGACAAAAACACATTTCGTAGAAATCAGCGCCAGCAACCAATAACAACGACTCCAAGAAACTTTTCAGTATTGGAATCATAGTTAATTAACAGCTTGGCCCAGCTATACAAAGTGCTTATCATCGCGTTTCATATTGATTGCAATTAAGTGGATCACTTTGGCAGCGCTATTGATTAATCCAGCCTGTACCTTCGGACATGTGTGTTACGTATGTGTCTGTATGTGACTCTATGTGAGTGTGTGTGGTATATTTAGGAATACGTTTCATACATATAAATGCATAAACACAACATATGTCTTAAAATATCTATTAGTTATAAGATTACACAGTATTTTAATATTTTAAGCCACGCGATCGAAATGTATTCGGACGATTGGCGCCATATGAATTGGTAGGGTAGCCACCATTCACATTGCCTGTGCTGTACGATGGCACAGCCGGCGGTTGCGGTGTTGAGGGGCCCCGATTTATGCCCAGACCATTGTTGCGTAGACTGGGCGCGACGTAGGGGCGCTGGCTAGTGGAAGCTCCAACTGCACCTACACCTTGAGTCGGTGCCGCTGGCTGTTGCGGCTGCGGCACATTTACTGGATAATTAGTGCCCTGCGGCTTCGGCCCAATAGGCGGCACAAGTGAATTAACCGTGGAGAAATTCGGCGGCTGCTGTGGCTGCGGCTGTAGTTGAGCTGGCGCTGCTGGCTGTATCTGCGTTCTCTTGGCTAAAGATGGTGCCAGGTAGGGATGATTTGCACCTCCGTTGGTGCCACTACTATTGCTCTGCGGTATATTGTAGCTGCGTCCCGATGGCGTTGTCACCTGTATGCTGTTTGGAGGTGATGGCAGAGCGCATGGCTGTTGCGGTTGCTGTGGCTGCTGCGGCTTGGTGTAGTCATAACCGTTGGGCAGCACCTGGACATAGTTCTCAAAAAACTGGCTAACCGAATGCATGGGCGTCGAGTAGTTTACATTGATCAGAGATTCGCGTGTGCGATGTCGCTGGTCTGGCTGCTGATCCTGTTCCAGTTGTTGCGGTTGCTGCTGCTGTTGCTGCTGTTGGTGCTGCTGCTGCTGTTGCTGCTGTTGGTGCTGCTGCTGCTGTTGCTGTAGCTGCTGCTGTTGTAGCTGCAATTGTTGTTGCTTTCTCACAGCCAACGCTTGCAGTCGCAATATATTCGCCTGTTTGATATGTGGTAGCAGCTCGGCATCGCCTTTGATCTTCTCCACGGTCGCCTCGTCACTGTCATCCGCATCCTCAGCATGCTCGCTGGTTGCTTTTGTTGGTGGTGGAGGCGGTGGCGGTGTTGGTGGCGTGGCCTTTGTCGTGCTTTCTGTAGGCTTCGGCTCTCTCTTTATCTCTTTTTCGGGAGGCGCCGTAACCTTCTTATTAACGAAGTCAAATAGATCGTCTATGTCTGGCACTTCGGGCAATCCACCATACGATTCGAAGTTATCGCGAAAGGCATTCGCCCACTCTTCGTTCTTGTGCAGCTCGGGATTGATGGCGAGCTTCTGTTGCCTACTGCTCGCCGCACTCGACTCTCCAAGGCCGCCCACATTCTTGATTACTGTGATCGTTTTGACGCGTGTGCCTTCCCTTGAATCAATATTTGTGGCTGCATAGCTTAAACTTAGATCTCTCTTTGCCTGGTGTGTGCGATCTAGAGACTTGGCGTCGGCGCTCTGTGGCGGATACTTAATGCTGATTATGGTTGTGCCCTGGGCGCCGACAAGCAATAGCAGCCCCAGTGCCGACATTGTCTAGAATAAACGAATTAGTTACAAATATCATTAGAGTACTTAGTTCCTGAATCGCTTTTATGGTTAGTAAGGCCATTGAGCGATTCCCAGCGATTTTGATAGGAGTAGGAGATATATATACATAGCAATATTTGTCTAAATATGTGCTTTTTATAAAACCATGACAAACTTGTACCCTAATTAAATCAGGCTTATGTTCAATCGTTTCTTTGACTCTTAGCGATATTATTTGAATTACGTTTAGAATCTAAGTCATATGCTGGTATAGTCCGAATTTCGATGTTTTTTTTTTTTTTCATTTTTTTTTTTTTTTAGTGTTTTAGATAAATTTGGTTTATGTCACTGAATAAATCTGCTATAATAATCCGAAAATATTAAAATATATTCAGCAACTCCATGAAGGATCTAGTATTTGGATGCTGGATAACAAACTTATGTTAACAGTCAGACTGTACTGCAAATACTAAAATATAAATATCTAAGATATCTTGCTAATAAAATTGCTAAAGATCGGAAGTATATATATATATCTAYCTTGGAGCTCTCTATTTTTATAATAAAAATAAATAAGTATCGTATATTGATCATGTCTTAGTGTTAAGCTGCTCTTGGCTTTCTACATGCTTTCAGATTCCAATTTTGTTGTAGTCTAAATTTCAGCGTGGAAATGGATTAAAGTATATAATTGCCAATAAATGTAGCTGGAACCACAAATTTCGTAGAATTCAATGATCGGTGCTCAATCAAATAGACAACAATAAAACAAGCCGATTTGCGTAATCTAATCTGTTAGATAATAAGCTAAATAAATTCTTTAAAAGCACTTACGATCCAAAGTATTTATATTTGGCATATAAATACTGTAATTTACTCACTGGAAATTAAAAAGACTCATATGCTGTTAGGTATGTAAATAAAATCGCTAAATATCGAAAATATTTAAATTTGAGCTAGTGTTAAGCTGTTTCGTTCTAATGGCATATCTTATATGATCAATAAAAAATTGCCGAAGTCCCAAAGTAATCGCGAAGACTTTGTGGCTGTAATCAGCTATGTTGCTCTGTATATACCTTAAATATATCTCAACTAGGGCAGATTATATTTAGAGTATTTTCAGTGCTTATATCACTTTGTCTATGCCATGTATCAAGTAGAGCTAATCGTATTTATTATTAATATTAATATCACTCACAATTGCGAATTTCATTTCTTTTGAGTGCTCAACACTCGATCAATGATCGGTGATCGGTGATCGATGATCGACAACGACGAGGACGACGRCGACGACGACGACAACAACGCGATCAAATGTTTGGTGTAACTGCGGCCCAGTTGGCGCAACAATGGCTTTTTATATAGCCAAGCGGAAGGAGTTGGCGTTAAGTTTCCTGTTAAAGTTTTCGCGTTAATCAGCTGCAACAAAAAGAAAAGAAAAGAAATGAAATCAAAARCAAACAAACAAATGTGGAGACAAATGAAACAGGCCACCAGCTCCAGCTCCTACTCCTGCTTATTTTTCTTTTATGTCGGTTGTTGTTGTTGTTGGCGACGGCGGTTGTTGGTTGTTGTCTACTTAGTTGCACATGTCAGTGCCACAAGCGGCGGCCGCAGCGCCGGCGGCACTTGCAACGCGTATTAAATTATAGCTGCATAATCGCTTTCCCATTTACGTTCAATCTGATCAACTGGTTTTTATTTTTGGTATAGTCAGTTTTAAATTCAACAGGTAATTGAGTGCATCTAATGAGGAAATTGAAACGTGAAACACTATCAATTAGCAATAGGGTCTGCTCAATACCAGTAGCATAGTTTCAGTTACATCTCCTTTCCTGCAGCGTGTGACCTTCATCGACGACTGGAAGGTCGCAGCTYTGTCTCTGTCTGTGTGTGTGTGAGCGACTAGCGCCAAATGCGAAAATCTTTCTAATTATCATTCGAGACATAATCTATCGCTTCATTAGTGGCATTAGCGACGCAAACTGGTCGCTCTTATGCAATGCCCCAGACAGACAGTCGCCCGACTTGCCACAGTTTGTTGCACACAGTTCCAGCTCTGTGTGAGAATCTGGCTCGTGCTCAAATGTCAAAACGATTCAGATAACGCAAGAGATATTATTGATACAGCTATCATATTTGAGCTGCCATAATTGAGGGCAATACTTTACACTCAATATAAATGCCAAAGGAAATTAGAAAATCAACTAATAGGTAAGCTCTATATCCTGGATTAAGCTAAACACTTTTTGGATTTGATCGTTGATCGCTTAACAAATGTGCCTATTGCTTTATAGTTATAGCTTTCATGTATAATGTATATATAGAGGATTTATATACATGTATTTGTTTTCTGTTGGTATTAATCGACACTTAATACTTGTACAATGCCTAAAAAAGAATAATCTTAATTCAGAAATGGAATATATAGACTTTCCATTTATCTACGCCCCTAATGGAATGTACATAAGAAATCATTTTTTTTTTTTTTTTAATGATTGCTTACTCAAATAAATAATACAATTTTGTAGTATTTAGCTTGAAAAGATATAGTCAATGCCAATTTCATTTTATTAGTTTAGATATTCCAAAACTCTATACATGTATGTTTTTTTAAACAATATATACAAAATATATATATGTATATATAAACATATGATTTTTGATTTTTGTTGAACGGCTTATTCAAAATTTTGGTAAGTTTTCTGGTCAAAAGTAGCTTAGAAGGCAATGTGGAGCAAATATTCAGATTTCTTCAGTTCCATTACAAAGTTTTTCCCTGTAAACTATATAAGTTCTATAATAGTTGCAAGGTAAATATGTTTTAAGCATGGTGCCAAATTTATTAAAATGCCAGAATTTGCATAATTGGAAAGAGTATTATGTGTATAGAAGAACTCTTAGCTTTTCAAACAATAAACTAGTTAAGGGGCCATTAATAATCGGGATTTTTGACTGTCTAGTTAACATAAATATTTTTATGAAACATGAATATTTACTGATGAATTTATTATATAAATATTTATAATAAAATTTAGATCGTCTTTAAATAGTCATAGCTAAATACGAATATATTGATTTTATTGCTGATGATACTCTACCTGTACCTATGTTAATATCTGTGCGAGCCAATGGGATCCAACATATTATTTGCCTACAAGAAACATATACACATATATAGAGCGATTTGAAAATAATTTGAAATGAATAAATAAAATATATAACATACATACACCCTAAGTCTTTTATGAAGCTCTTAAACTGCGCGTCTATCTTCAATTATAATCTCATATTATAGTCTATGCAAATTGTTAGCGTATTCTCCATAAGCCTGTGATTCTCATTTCAGATGATTGAAAAACCTGCTGGGACTCGGCTGGAAGCAACTGAAGCTAACGCAAATGAGGGATTCAACCAATTAGAAAGGCTGTGCCCGAAGCTTGTAAAATTAAACCACAAAATCAATAAAAAGAAACAAAACTGAAAATCTGAAAAACTATAAAAATAAATAGCAACAACAGGGTATAAAAAAAGAGAGTCTTGAATCAAGATGAGTGTCATTATTCGTTTGCAAAATCTGCCGTGGACGGCAAATGCTCGAGATATACGAAATTTCTTCACGGGCCTCTCGATACCGGAGGGCGGTGTCCACATAATCGGTGGCGAAATGGGCGACGCATTCATCGCTTTCAGGTAGTTAGAAAAAACAATCTGTTTATATCTCTCTCTCACACTCAATCTGTTAAATGCAATCATATGTAGAAAGCAGAGTTGGTAACTCTGGCTAGAGGTAGAGATTGGGGCGCAGGTTGAAGCCAAGTCTCCTAACATAGTTCTGTTTGTTACGCATTTGACGAATGATATCCTTTAACTTTAAGCCTTTGCCCTTCTCTCTTTCTTTCTCTTCCTCTCTCTTCCAAACATCCAATAGCACCGACGAGGATGCTCGCTGCGCCATGCTCAAGGATCGCGAGAAGCTGATGGAGATTCAAGTGCGGCTGCTGCTCTCTTCGCGTGCCGAAATGCAAAAGGTCATCGAAACGGCGCGCAATGTGAGTGCAGCAGCTGTTGCCACGCCTACGCCTACGCCCACGCCGATGCCGATGCCCACGCCCAAGCCAGTGGCGGCGTCGGTGGCAGCAGTAGCAATGCCGCCGGTGCCACAGCCGCCAATTATTGGTGGCCTGAACAGTTTTCTGCTTGGTCAGCAGCAGGGACAGCAGGGACAACAGCTCAAGCAGCAGCTTGCTTCGGTGGCTGCATCTGCGTCGGCCACGCCCTCATTTTTGGCATATCAACAGCAGGCAGGCATCTCATTAGCCGATGTCGGGGGCCTCAAGGCCGCCGTCGACAAGCCAGCAGCGGCCGATCTGGGGCTCTTTAGGCGCAGTCGAAGTCGTTCCAGTAGCTCCGATGATAGCGATCGCAGTCACGATCGTGGATTGCGCGATCGTGGACGCAAGCGTCGCTCGGAGCTGCGCAGCGATAGCAGCGAGCGTGAGCTTAAAGTTTTGCCAAAACCCCAAGCGCCGTCCACAGGCGCTGTGTCCAATCTGTCGCCCTGGGCATTGGGCGCCACAGTGCCACCGACAGCAGCAGCAGCAACCATAGCAACTGGTGCTGCTGCAGCTGTGTCGCCCGGGCTAAATGCTATGCCCGGTCTGCAGCAGCAGCTAGGCATGATGAATGTGCTGCCGCCCGTGCTGCAGAGCTATAGCACCACCAGCAATGTGACCACCAATAACTACAATCTCAATCTATCGGCTGCCACACCGCAGCAACAGCAGCAGCAGCAGCAGTTGTTGGCACAGCAGCAGCTGGCCAAGCCACAGTCACAGCAGACGCCACAGGAGCCGATAGCCTTTGCCAATGTCAATCCGTATGCTCAAATGTATCCGCAGCTATTCCAGCAGCAGCAACTGTTGCTGCAACAGCAGGCCGCAAAGAATGCTGCAGGCAATTCGCCAGGGCAGGCTGCTGCTGCAGCCGGTGGTGTTGGTGCTAGTGCTAGTGGTTCTGGTGCTGGTGGTGGTGCAGCGGGCTCGTCTGCTCCCATAATGATCGCCGAGACGTGCTACATCAAGATTAGCGGCATGTGTCCCAGCACCTCGTACAGTGATCTACGGAAATACTTTGCTGGCCTCTATATACCGCACAATGGCATCAAGATTGTTAGCGGACCAAATGGCACACGTACTGGCGTCGCCTATATTGAGTTCTCGCGCGTGTCCAGCGCCCAGAAGGCGCTGCTGCGCAACAATACGCTCTTCCGTGACCGCCTGGTGCAGATTGTGCCCATTTCTGATGAGGAATTCGAGCAGGTCGATGAGCGCTCTCATCGCGGCAACAGCAAGAGTCACAGCAGCAGCAGTCCGGCTGAGCGTTCGCCAGCTGCTCCGGGTACCTTGCCGCCAATCAGTGTCCTATACGTTGAGGACTTGCCCCAGCTAACCACCGAGCAGGACATTATGAAAATGTTTTCGGCGACCTATACCATTGTCGACATCCTGCTAGCGCCCAGTCCCAACAATCGGCGTGAGTTTGTGGCCTTTGTACTGTTTGCTCGCGAGAATGAGGCACGTTCCGCTCTCGAGGATACCTCTAGGCATTACATTGGGTTCCGTAAGTTGCGCGTGCGCGCCAGCAGTCAGGCAGAGATGCAGAATGCTAGAGATAAGATGCGACGTGCTAGCGAGCAGTTGCAGAAGGAGGAGCAACAGCAGCGTGAGGAAGCTGAGCGTGAGCAGGTGAGCAAACAACAACAACAACAACAACAACAGCTACTACTACAACAGCAACAACAACAGCTACTACAACAACAGCAACAACAGCAGCAGCATCTGCCTTCGCAGGAGCTTTTAATGGCCATGGCCAAATTTAACAACGACCCGCGTAGACGCAATCACGACCAACAACAGCAACAACAACAACAACAACAGCAACAGAGTACACACAACAACAACAACAACAATCATCACAATAATTTGCAACCGTTTGCCAACACTGCCATGCATAACGGTAATATGCCACCTTTTGCCTTTCAGCAGCAAAATAACGGTATGAACAATTATGGCAATGGCATGCATATGATGAATAACAACCACAACAACAATATGGGCCCCTTTGGCATGCTGCAGAACAATTTCAACAGCAATCATCCAATGCATCAGCAACATCAGCAGCAGCAACAACAACAACAACGCCGGCCGGAGGACGTCTTTGTGCGTGTCCACAACTGTGAATATGCAACGCGAATCAATGATTTGGGTGAGCTATTCGTATCGGAGAACTTGCGGATCGAGCACATTGAGATGCTGTTCAATGATCGCAATCAGAGCGCTGGCGAGTTTATTGTCGAGTTTGCTGATGCAGCTAATGCCAAAAGGGCCATCAGAGAGTTTCACAATCGTCGCTTCCGTGGACGCGGGCTCCGTCTGACGTCCATAACGCCGCAAGAAATTGCGGATCGCATGAATAAACCGTTTATGGACTATTTGCCGGGTGGCAATGGACCCAGACAGTTGGATCCAGTTGCGCCCTTGTCGCCGCCCATGCAACAGCAGCAACCGCAACAATCCCGACGTCGTGGTCCAAGTCGTTTTGATGATGCCAGCAATTGCCAACCACAACAACAGCAACAACAACAGCCGCAGCAGCAGTCGGATAGCGATGACAGCAGCAATGTAAAGCAACATTTTAATCCCTTTGCTGTGCGCGGTGGCCCAGAGCTGGGTAGCGATGAAGTACCTGTTAGTCCGCCTATTATTGCATCCGCCATCAATGCCAACAATGGAAGCAGCGAGCCAGAAGAGAATGGCATACCAGATAAGTTCAATCGTGCGGGCTGCGTCGTGGCCATGCGTAATGTGCCTTTCAAGGCGGACCTTAAGGATATTCTGCGCTTCTTCAGTGACTACAAGCTCAGTCCGGATGATATTATACGGCGTTTCAATGACGAGGGTAAGCCCACAGGAGATGCACGCGTTGCTTTCGAATCGCCGGCGGAAGCGCGTTCGGCTTTTGAGTCGCGTCGCCGTAAGCAAATCTTCAATCGTACAGTTTACTTAGATATTATTTAAAGCCAAGGTTCAGGCACTAAAATCGAATACAATTTGTAAATAGTTAAGATTAAGTTAGACTTAGAGAACAGGGTCAATGAGGGTTTATACCGTCAAGTAGCAGAGTACCACCAAAGCTGTTAATTATATCAATATTATTATTATGTAAAATGTACATCAATCAGTTCTTCAATAAATTACTATAGAAAAGAAGCGCATACAAATTTATCCTTAAGCATAATTCTGGAGCTGGATGACCTGCGACTTTTTCAGCGACTCACGGCACAGCGGACACTCATCGCGTTCCTCCAGCCAGTCGAGTATACAGATCCAGCAGAAGAGGTGACCACAAGGTGTTAGACTGGCATTTTGCCTTGGCTCCAGGCAGAGGATGCACTGCGGCACATTCGCCGTCAACTGCTTTGATTGTTTTTCTCGCTGCATAAATCCTTTGGCCGCCTGCTTGAGTGCCTCTAACTGCTGGCGCTTGTGTTCCTTCCATGCCTCCCAGCCGCCAATGGCTAGGGAAACAGTGACTTGTAGGAATGTAATGATGCCCAAAATCTTGTAGCCATACAGCGAGAATTCTGGCTGCAGCCAGTGTCGGATGAGTACGTAATTTATGCCTGTGGTACGCTTGGACAGCTGGTACTTGCCGGCGTCCAAGTAGAAAAGGGACTTGTGCAGCGCCTTGATATAACTTGGCGACTGTCGCATGTACTGTATAAGCTTTTGCAGCTTCTTCTTAGCATCTGGTACAATTTCATCATGAGCAGCTATGTGCAGCTCCAGCTTTTGCAGCACACGCAGAAACAAAGCATCGCCGCCAAATTCCAGTATTATTGCAACCAATTGCAGCTAAAGGTATGTTATGAATTAAGAGACAGTTAAAATGAAATATGTTGTACTGCTCACCAATCGACTGGGTATTTGCTTATAGTCTCCATCGACCTGTATAATGCCTGTATATTCCTCGCCTAGTGTTTGCAGATTGTTCAAAGAGGCAAACCCATGATAGCTCAACTGCGCTATCAATTGGCACAATTGATTATATTTGATCCAGTTGCGCGGTCCAGTCAATCTTAGTATATCGGATAAGTCCTCGGAGAGCTCATTTGTGTAACGTGCATCCTTTTGTACCGAACGTACAATTTCCGGTTGCCGTGCTCGGGCGTTGCGAAAGTCCATTTGCTTTGGTAGCCACGATGTGTTTACATTATTTAAGCACTTGCAGCAGTCTGCGACGGCAGTTCAAAGTTCGACACAGATAAGTAAACAAATGAGAGTTCTGATTTTCCATGCCTCAACCATTTATCGAAATAAATACGATTTCAAAGTTGTTTTACAGCACTGCTGATCTCATTTGCACAGCTGAAATTATAAAAATATCGATACTTGATAATAAAATGTATCGCTAATATATCAGTATATGAACAAAGTAAACATCGCAAATATCGATAAGCTATCAACAATCCTAGTTCGCACGCTAGTGAATGTAAAAATTGCTAAAATTTTGTTGAAGTTAGATATAAAAATCAGCACGTAATTATTTAAAAAATAAATAAATCCTGTGTTTTGTATTTTCGTTATGACCGCGTTTGCGTTGTCTCTCTTTTAATCAGCAGACGAGCACGAACGTCTGTTCGCGTCGCAGCGACGGAGAAAAAAATTGAAGTGGGTATTGTTGGAGTAAAATTAAACGGAATTTCGAGCTGTGAAAACTACACGCAAAAGCAAATCGAGAAAAATTACACTTATAAAGAGGTAATAAAGTTGCATTTACAGTGTGCGTGTTGCAATTTGTGTATGTGTAAAAGTTGATTTCCCTGAAACGGACAAGTAACAAGTAAAATACCCATTTTTGATGACGAAATTTGATGAGTATATATATTAGTATGTACGTGTGTGTTTTTATTTTTCGCATTTGATAAGCAAGTGTGAGTGAGTTATATTTGTAGGTTTGTGCATGTGTGTGTGTCGTTTGATAAGCAGCAGTCATTGGACAGGTATCTTCCACAACAGAAAGGTCGCATATGTTGGCATTTAAGTCTCGTATTTATTTACAGTGTATGGCTTATATTTTGGACACATGCATAAAAATCAATTTGACTGTTCAACTAGAAGCCACACAAAGCAGACCAAAAATGTAATTAGCGCTGGCTTAACAAAATTGTTGCTGGTTTTGATTTCGGCCCATACTCCCACAAAATTTACATACACCTTGCATACGCACATGCATATACATATGCACACACATATACATATAGTATTTTCTTCGTATCTGTCAAAAACGCTTCCGTGCTGCTACTTCAATTTGCAGAGTGGAGACTTTTGGAGACCTTGCTTTGTGCCAATATATCTCTGTATCTTTAGACAGCAACTTGTTGTTGCTTTTATTTTTTGTTCGCTTCTATCTGACATTTCTCTTTTTGCTAGATATTTATTCATTTGTATGTATGTATTTTTCTCAACAGCTTTTAGTAGATTTGTTTATGAGTTCACACTTTTTGGGTTTCAGTGTTCACAGATTTTGTTAATTTGTTGCTGTTGTAGCTGTGGAGAAAATATTACGCTTTACTTCAGTAAGATTTTGAGTTTTGCATAAGACTGAATCACGTCTGTGTTATTTTTGCATTTAGCGCTCTTTTCTCTTTGTTATATATGATAAACAGAAATACTTATAATAAAGAGTGATTATTAATATAATATTTGTTATTGTATTACAAATATCAACAACCTCAAGCATTGTCATTTTCTAAGGTCGCCTATTAATTTTGTAGGGCAACACTTAAACTGTCCGCACACTGATTTTGTAGAGATTGTCAATGAACTATCTTGCAATCCGCTGCAACCCGTGGATTTTGTAGAGTTTTTGAAAGCTAACCCGCGTTTTCTTGGTTATACGCTCACAGCAGAAAAAGTTTAACTAATATATTAAATTAAAATTTTTAATTACCAAACAATTTGAGTGGAATGAACTACTTGGAAGTGTGTGCCTAATTGTCATTTACGTGCACATTAATGCATATATAATTGCGTCAATTTACGTCGCCATTGAGCAGCTTCGCGTGCATGCAGCTTGTTTCACACTCGATTATTGATTGATACACAGCTGTATTTACCTACGTTGCATAGTTGTACATAGAACTCGAGTATAGAATCGATATAGAGCAGTTCGAGTTGACCTTGAGAGAAAACTTTTTCACTAGCTAGCTAGCTAGAGCGGCCCACGTAAATACATATATTGCGAGTCCATTTAATATAATGTTGCGTGTCAGTCTACGCTTCGTTCATCGTTCATGATGATGTTTCTGCTGATAATGATGATCTAATGCGTGCTTCTCTCCATACTGCTCCACATTTTGCCGCTGACCCCATTTACTGAGCATATTGCAAGCTGTCTCTCTCATCATTTTAAATTTGTAGTTGAAAAACTTTTGTGTGCACTGTCAAAAAGTAAACAAGTTTGTGTACCTAATCATAGTGTTTGCCTTTCTCTCTCTTTTCCTCTTTTTATTTTCATTTTTATCTAATTGCTAACTCGATTTTGTTGCGACAGAATGAGCACAACTCCGGCCAGTCTCATTGAGGCGGCTATAACTGTGAGCAGCGTCGCTGCTGTTGCTGCTGCTGCGACGGGTAACGGAACTGCTGATACTGCTGCTGCAGCGACGACCCTGAAACCGAATACCAACTACGTTGTGAAAATGGGCGTGGCACCGGAGCCATTGGACCCCCTGCTTCATGTGGGCGATGGCATATTCCTGCAGACCAAAACAGCACAGGTGCTGGCGGGTGTGTTTGTTTGGGCAGCGCTGTTTGTCACATGTCAACAGGTGAGTGGGCACTCAAATCATGAAATTCAATAGATATACATACTCAACTAATCACATATATCACTTACAGATCTATCAGCATTTACGTTGGTACACCAATCCACAGGAGCAGCGCTGGATAGTCCGTATACTGTTCATTGTGCCCATCTATGCAACCTACTCATGGATTAGTTTGCTATTCTTCAACTCTGACAACGTTTACATATACTTCTTCACGGTGCGCGATTGCTATGAAGGTGCGGTACTCTCGTAATCTCTTATTCCCCCGCGTAGTCCATTCTAATCTCTGTCTAAATATGCTTTTACAGCCTTCGTGATTTACAACTTTCTGTCACTATGCTATGAGTATCTAGGCGGTGAGGGTAACATTATGTCTGAGATACGTGGAAAGCCCATAAAGACCTCCTGCTTGTACGGCACATGCTGTTTGAAGGGCAAGACATACACCATTGGATTTTTGCGCTTCTGCAAGCAGGCCACGCTGCAGTTCTGCTTGGTTAAGCCACTGGTGGCATTTATAATCATCTTTCTGCAGGCCTTTGGACATTACCATGATGGTGATTGGAGGTTTGTTGTGTGGCAGTGTACTTAGTAATCAATCTGAAAAGTTTGCCTAATCTATTGTTTGTTCTTTTACAGCGCTGATGGCGGCTACATTTACATAACCATAATCTATAACATTTCCGTTTCGCTGGCTTTGTATGGTCTATATCTGTTTTACTTTGCCACTCGTGATCTGCTGACACCGTTTGAGCCCGTCTTGAAATTCTGCACCATCAAGTCAGTCATCTTCTTGTCATTCTGGCAGGGCGTAGGTCTGGCCATACTCGAGAAGGCGCAGGTCATATCACCCATTGTGGACAGTGCTGGCACTGTCACCTCGGCTGGTACCGTTTCCGCCGGCTATCAGAACTTTTTCATATGCATTGAAATGCTGTTTGCTGCCATTGCGCTGCGATATGCGTTCCCTTATCAGGTGAGTACGATATGACAGGTATAGCGTACGATAAGATAAGTTAGAGCTCGCTTTGGCTTATCTGTAATTTGTGTTATGCTTAAATGACTGTCTACAATATTTTCGCAATCAAAGTCAATGCTTTAACAATTTGACTATCAGCTATCAGCCATGCCTGGCATATGATTCATATTGTATATTCCCTATTTGTGGTATAGGAATTCTAATAGGCTCAATTTTTAATAAAAATATACGATAAGTAGAGGCATATTAATCTGGGTAATTGATTTTAATAGACCGTGCGACTACTGTTGGCCTAAAGCATATCAGTATTTATTTATAAATTTCTTATCTCTCCATTTTAGGTCTATGCGCGCAGCTGCATTGGCGATGGACACGGACGCTCTGTCACTATGCAGTCTATTTCCAGCAGTCTCAAGGTAAATCTCTTAAGCATTGTTTTTCTTAGCAAATCCCTTACATTTTCATGTTTTTTCCAGGAAACCATGAATCCCAAGGATATTATGACAGATGCTATACACAATTTCCATCCACAGTATCAACAATACACACAATATAGTTCAGGTAAATTCTTTCTCTTTAATTCTTTTCTGCTTTCGATATTTTTCGTCTCTCGTTGAATGTTTGTTGCCTGCTCGCTGTAGCTATGATTGTTGAATCTTATCAATTTTACTTTGCTTTTCATTCGCATTACATTATCATTATGTTTTACACTTTTGTTTTCTTTCTGTTTCTTATCTTTTGCAGACGTAACCTCAACTCAGCGTTACGAAAAGCTCTAAAACTCTTAAAGCAAATACAAAAAAAAAAAAAAAAAAAAAAAAAAAAAAAAAAAAAAAAAACAAACTAGCGATGCTCGCTACTAAACACTAACTATAATTCCAAAACGAATGGAGGGAAATAACAGCATAACAGCATACAAATAATGATTATAGTAAAAACCAAGCAGTTTAAAGACAAATCAAGTGTACTTAAAGCTAACAATTGACACCACAGTTGCCTTTTGTTGCCGCTTAAAGATAATTATAAAGAAAAGATTATGCATTAAATACGTATTAGGCCTAGTTACTTACAGAAAGCGCGCACTCGAAAACCCGATTACCACAAAATTGCCTAGCTGCCTTAGAACATTATGTAACTGAACGATGTACTCTGAAACACTTCACATTACCTTGTTTAACGTTCCCTCTCCTGCTGATTTGTGTGTATTTTTTATATATTATGTTTACGTTTACGATTTAAGCCTTTTATCAACTTATTTAAATGTTAGCAATTTATTCTACATATACTATATATAAATTGATAATATTGTACAATATTATACATGTATGTGTAAACAAAGATTTTATTATTATACGTATGTAATTATTTGTATAAATGGCAATATATAAACAATGGACCCCAAACAGATTAACAAACATTTTCCAGACTCAATAGGGATTTACAATTTTAATCTTGGCAAACTTTTTTGGAAAATTCTTATTCAATAAATTGAGATTCTCACAGTTCATGTTCTTAGCTTATTATGCATTTAAATGTTCAAATTTACGAATATATAGAAATCTTTCGATACAATATCACTTTTAGCTCAAAGATACCAAAAAACAAAAAAAGATTAAAAAAAAAAAAAACAAAACAAGAAAAAACATTTGCTTTTTGATTTTCTTTTGTGATAGACTCAAATCGAAAGCTCTTGCTTTTTATGTTTCTTATTTTTTTTTTATAAAACCTTTTGTAAATGTTTAAACGAATTGTATAAACTATCTTTAAATTAACTGTATTAAATAAATGTACGATAAGCTTAACTGCGTCGCCTTTCCTTTGCTTGCAATGTTCATATATATCTAAATATATATACATATCTTATATATAGAAAGCCTGCATTTTGCATGAATTTCGAATCTCTTGTTAACTCCAACACTATGAAACCTTCTAAGTAAATAAAACCTTCGTGCAGGTGGCAAGAATTCGCGTGGCATTCGCGTCTCCAGCTACGATCCGGATGATCCAAATAGTGGCAACCAAGCTGCCACCACGGGAGGCACAGCGAGCAGCGGTGGATACAATGCGGTGGCAACTGGAGGCGGCAACAACAGCTGTGTAGCATCCAAGACGCTGGGCAACCAGCGTAAATTCATTCCGGGCGGACAGCGTGTGGCAACCATTAGTCAGAACTACAACGAGAAAACAATGCTGCTTAGCAGCGACGATGAGTATCAGTAGAGCGAGGCAGCAGCAGGAGCTAGACAGGAGCAACTGGCAGAGAGAAGAGGGAGAACGTTTCGATGATCAAGTGGTTCCGAATGGTTCCGATTTGGTTGGTTCCATGTTTTGTTTTAAGAATTGTTCGTTGTAATCTGTTTCTTTTCTCTTTGTTTGGAAATATTGAAAATGTTTCGTTTGACACTGGACCTCAAATGGTTTTGATTTGCTTGTACAATAATCTTAAGTAGCGCAACAGCAAAAAAATAAGAAGAAAATAAATAATAATAAAAAAAAAACTAGAAAATGATTGATATATTTATATACATAGAGAAACAGAAGATGTGTATGTAAACAGATGACTAATCAATATGATTAACTCGTATTTTTACACCACGTATGTAAGCAGTTTAAAGGATGAGCATTTTGATTGCATTTTCTTTTGTAAATCGTTTGAAAAACTTTGTATAAATCAAAAGAAGAACAAAACTTCAACTCTAGCGTCTAAAAACCGTCGTTGAGCAAATCTAACAGGCTGCTTATACAATAAAATTTCAAGAAAAATAATTATATATT